GGGTGAGGATTCTACGTCAGTGTCTGCGTCAGATGAGTAGGACAAAGACAAACGCCGAAGCTACGCAAATAGTGGCATTAATTTTCCGACCCGAAAACAAAAGGTTAAATTCCCGGTTCAGTCCCTCAACTTTCATTTTTGAACTAAATTTACCCTCAAACTTCAAAAAGTACTAAAAAAATCTCTAAATTTCAATTTTTGCGACCAATTTTGTTATTTTGTCAGTTAAATGTTAGATGTGGTGAAATTCTCTATTAACAAATTCAATTTCTATTAATATTGAATATTACCTAAAAATAAAATAAGTGATGTGGCTTCTTTTAATTATAAAAATATTATTACATGGCACCATGAATATAATTTAATAAATAAAAATTTCTTTCCTTTCTTTTTTTTTTTTTTCTCCTTCTCTTTCCTTTTCTCCTTCCCCTCCTTATTGGGTTTGAAGGAACCAGCACCAGCGCCTGGGTTCCTCGAACCCAGCACCTGGGTTTAACCTAGCATGCTTGGGTTTGAGTTGAACTCGCTTGGGTTTTTTCTTTTGTTTCTTTGTTCTTTTGTTTCTTTGTTGGCTGCAGTCATACTTGGCTATCTTGGTATGGGATTTAGAGTTTTGTGTGGCTTCTGCTTGCTTGAATTTCAAGATCGAGCTACTATTGGTGTTAATTGAATGGATGTTGTGTTTTTTACAGTTTCCTTTACAGATCTGGTAAAAGTTTGTAGAGTAATTGATTTTTTGAATCAGATCTATTGGCCATTATTATTGTACGAGGAACCAAATTTGGGTTCCATTAGAGAAGAGGTTTGGGGAAGAAGGAGATGGTGATTGGAGTGGTAAGGAATGACCGGAGCAATGAAAGATGATCGATGCTGATTGGGTTGCAAGATGAAGAGACATCTGAGGATAGAGAAAGACTAGAAGGGAGAAAAAGAGGGGCTGGAAGATGAAGATGTGGCATTTAAGAAATTTTAAATTTTTTAATAAATTAATTAATTAAAATTACGTGGATAATAAAAATACAACAGTGAGTCAAGTTATTTTCCACGTAATTAAAGATTTCAAAGAAGAATTGATTTTGTGGCAACTTAACGTGCCATCTAGCACTTCTGTCGACGGAAGAATGAAATTGGTCCCAAAAATTCAAGTTCAAGGATTTTTTTAGTATTTTTTGAAGTTCGAGGGTAAATTTAGTTCAAAATGAAAGTTGAGGGACTGAACCGGGGATTTAACCAAAACAAACCGAATCTCCTTTATTTAATTGATCGACGAGCATCAGAAGCCTATCCCCTCCCCCGCATTTCCTCGCAGCAGAGTAGAGTCAGTAAGCAGCCATGGCTCGTCTCGCCTTGGCCTCCTCCATCATCCTCCTCCTCCTCTGCTGCTGCGCCGCCGCGGGATCAGTCTTCGACGACTCTAACCCGATCAGATTGGCCTCTGATGGTCTCGGTGACTTCGACTCCTCTGTCCTCCAAGTCCTCGGCTACACTCGCCATGCTTTCTACTTCGCCCGTTTTGTTTACAAGTAACACTTCAATCTCTCTATAACTTACTCTCGCATCGTCGCCGTATAATAGGAAAATTTTGAATGGATTCGTTTCTGTTTGTGGTTAGGTACGGGAAGAGGTACGAAACAGTGGAGGAGATGAAGCTCCGGTTCCAGATTTTCAAGGAGAATTTGGATTTGATCACATCCACGAACAAGAAGGGACTGCCTTACACTCTTGCTGTTAATCGTACGTGCTAATGCTATTTCTATTCAATCGATTGTATTCTGTTTACTTTTTCAGCTTATTAATCCTTATATTAGCCCTCTGATGATGAATCTAAGGATTCTGATCTTTACTGTCCTCAGTTGTCAGTACTGAATCCTGATGTTTGGTTTTGAGTTCTGTTTCTATTTCCTAACAGTCTTTTGATGCTCAATTTTAGTGACTGTCGTAATTTTAGTCATCTATAGCTTGCAACCAATTATATTTTGAATTATCATGTTCTTTTTTTTCTTTTTCTTTTTTTTTGGTAAATTCATTTGTTAATTTCTGTTTATTGGTTTGATTCTGCAGACTTTGCTGATTGGACCTGGGAAGAGTTTCAGAGACACAGATTGGGAGCTGCACAAAATTGCTCTGCCACAACAAAGGGCAATCACAAGCTCACCAATGATGTCCTTCCTGAGACGGTACTTACACTTTCACTTAGAAGCAAATTTTTTTAGAAATCAACTCTTTATAATGCTTGTGACTCGGCACTAGTTTTAATATGCAACAATAAGGTCTTAAAGTGTAGGCTCTAACAACGTGATATATTGAGCTTGGGAAAATATATAGAAGTTAGAGACATATTCCCCATGTGGTCATGGAGTTTCAAAATATGTAAAGTGGAGAACTATTGCTGAATTATATCTGGATAGTAGAAATCTGCTTTTCTAGAGACTCCAGCTAAGATAATTTTCTGTTGCTCTATCTACAGAAAGATTGGAGGGAAAAAGGAATAGTCAGCCCAGTCAAAGATCAAGGGCACTGTGGATCATGCTGGACATTTAGGTTAGTTTGAGTTATGATTAGCACTTTATTGTGGGGTAATTTTGGTTGCAAATTTTAAGCTTTTAACCCTATAAATTTTCATGTTTTAGTACCACTGGAGCTCTGGAGGCAGCTTACCATCAGGCGTTTGGAAAAGGAATCTCTCTATCTGAGCAGCAGCTTGTGGACTGTGCTGGGGCCTTTAATAACTTTGGATGCAATGGTGGTTTGCCATCCCAAGCCTATGAATACATCAAATACAATGGTGGCCTTGATACTGAGGAGGCATACCCTTATGTTGGACGAAATGGTGAGTGCAAATTCTCACCAGAAAATGTTGGTGTCCAGGTGCTTGGTTCCGTAAATATCACCCTGGTAAGTCCATGAACAATTTGTCTTAGTATTTTCTTAAACTGTATTAGATCAATGAGTCAATGTGCTTGATTTGAAAGGAAAGCCCTTTCTGAGGATATGTTTCATATGTGCATACGTTTTTCTAGGTTTTTTTGTTTCAATTCCAAAGAGTATGTTTACTGCCTATGACAAAAAAAAAGAAAAAAGAAAAAAGAAAAAGGTATGTTTACTGCTCAGTTGACATAATCTACTACCGTTCATCTTATAGAGCAGTGACTACCCATTCTTTTCCAACATGAGCCAAATGCCAGAATTCATTCAACTTTGGAGAAATGTACTGTTAATTTAAATGTAAAATTCAGGGTCATTGTGTTTCCTAGTTTCTTTTGTTAAAACGCAGGGTGCTGAAGATGAATTAAAGCATGCAGTTGCCATGGTTCGACCAGTTAGTGTGGCATTTGAAGTTGTGAATGGTTTCCGATTTTATGAGAATGGAGTTTACACTAGTGATAAATGTGGTAGCACTCCAATGGTGAGTTTTTTCCCCTATTATTTAGATTATAGCAACTTTGATAATTTGAGTTCATCAAATCAAAATTAAATGTGGAGCAAATGTGTTTAGTTTGTATACGAGTAAGAAATGCTGGTTTTCTATGAAATACACATAGCATTATAGCCCTGCTTCCCTTTTCTGTGTGAACTAATAGTCACAAGTTCGACCTTTGAAAGCATCACTTACATGTGTGTGGGATTATGTGGCATGTGCATTTCATCTCATTTAATGCACATGAATGCATGGATATGTTCCTTCTCGTATCATGTGGTGCATTGATACATTTGATATTCTATTTGTGGCAGGATGTGAACCATGCAGTTGTTGCCGTTGGGTATGGAGTTGAAAATGGTGTCCCGTATTGGCTTATCAAGAACTCATGGGGAAAAAACTGGGGGGATAATGGCTACTTCAAGATGGAGTTGGGGAAAAATATGTGTGGTAAGTCTCTTAATGTACAACTGCTTTCTAAACCTAGTAACTTACTCAAAGTCAATCTAAGCTTGTGCCAATCAAGTTTGAGCTCTTGGCCACAAGGTCACCATAGTCCTTCCGAGGGCAACATGGTCAAGGGATTTTGGGGGCCGATACATAACCAACAATGACACCATAGTTAAAGGAACTTTGAAGTGATACTTAACCAACAATGGACTATGGTCACCTTGTGGCACAGAGCTTGAATTGGGGGCGTAATGGCTATTTCAAGATGGTGATGGGAAAAACATGTATGATAAGTCTATTGACAATGCAATCAAGTTCGAGCTCTATTCCACAAGGTGATCATAGTGCATCGCCATTGTCAGGGGAGTTGAGGGGCAATACCTAACCAACAGTGGCACTATGGTCAAGAGAGTTCTGGAGTGATATCTAACCAACAGTGGCACCACCCCCAACCTTTATGGTGGTACAAGTCTATCCAATTCATTTGACATATTTGCTGTGGGGCAGGATCTGGTGTTGCAAATTTGTCATATGAATTGGATGGAATTGTATCACTACCACGTGATGGTGGTGCTGTTGTTGGTTAGGCATTGATCCAAAGGTCCTTGACCACAATGTCCCTATATAGGTATCAGCCCTGAACTGCATTGATGATATTGCGACTTATGGACAATGGTGACCTAGTGGCACAGAGCTCAAACTCAAGGGATAATGCCTACCTCAAGATATGGCAAGTCTCCTAGTCTGCGTCTGGTTTTGTATAATGAAAAACTCTCAAAATTGATTCAAGCATGTGTTAATCTAGTTTGAGCTCTGTGACACAAGATGATCACGGTCAAAAGGTGGCAACGTGGTCTGGGGAATTCTAGGGCACTGTTTGTTAGGTTTTGCTCTAGGATTCCCTTGACCATAATACCACTGTTGGCTAGGTATTGGCAGAGAGTTAGAACTTGATTCAAGCCTATTGACTCAAGACTGAAATTTAACACCATTCTCTTCTTGAAATGTTGGTGTAAATCAAAGATTTAGTTCCTTACGCTTATATATGATTTGGTTGCAGGAATTGCAACATGTGCATCATACCCTGTTGTTGCGTGATCTAGATTTGAAGAACTTGCTGTATTCGTCAGTAATCAGTGTTATTTATCCGTCTCAAAAGGTGAAGATTCATTATATAGTAGATGCTGTTGGCTTCACTTATGGTCCTGTTAGAGACATCCTTCTAAAACGTAAATGCATCGTATGGAACAAAGACATGCCGTAAAATTTCCTCGTGAATTATTGTCATGTATAAATTCACCCCAATACTTTTAGGAACCACGTATTGTTGTTTCTTGTTGCTGAATAAATTATGCACTTAATAGTATCTTGTTGGGATGTTTCCTAGGGGTTACAAGAAATGCATTTACCCGACACTGATACGATTACAGCTTAAAAATTCAAGGCTGAAGAATAGTTGAATTGTATGGCTTAATAAACAAATGTAATCATTAACTTACGAAATCTAGGAAAAAAAATCAATTAAATTTACCAAAATCTAGGAAAAAAAATCAATGTATTGCTTAAATCTTGTGTTATCCTCAGTGATTTTGTTGGAGATTGAATGATACAATGACCTAAGAAGGTAACTCTCTAACCGTCCCGTCTTAATTTTTCTAAAGCCAAACCAAAAATCCAGCATCCCTTCTGTTTTATGCGGCAGCCAAAGTTCTAAAGCCAAGTGTTCACTTCATCACTTGGGATTTGCAGAGAAACCGTTTTTGATGGAATCCTGATATTGTCCGAGCAGCAATGACAGATCCCAACTACTGCTGGTTCCACCGGTGCCTGAAAAATTGTATAAGCTTGCTCTACCTGTGATTCCGTGAAGACAGAAGAATTAGGAATAATATTGAAGCAGATGAGCAATACACTCATCTAAATCCCAGCACTTTTTGCAGAAGAAATAAGTTTTCTAAACTGGAACCTCATGCAGATTAGTTACTGTTCGATGGTGTAAACAATTAGTATGAAATCCTGTAATGACCTCTATAAATTAAAAGGGAATAATGGGTAAAAAGGTAGTAAAAGTGTTTGTTGCAGATGGTGAACTACGCAAATCATGCCAATGTCTCTCTCCCCCCCCCCCCCCCCCCCAACACCCCCAAGCCATTAAACGGTACAGTTCAAATTCTTCTTGTTTCTTCTTCTTCTTCTTCTTCCCTCTTTTTTTTTTTTTGGATCGGCTATTCAAATTCTTCCTTTTATTGTTTGAAAGAGAATGCAAAACAATGGTGTCTAACTTCCCACCAAGCCTGATGCCATCTCTCCTTATTAATAAATCATTTTTAACTGTGCATTTGATGTCAAATATCAACAAAGATCTCAAAACAGCCTCGTCTCTTTACATATAAAGCTCAAAGCAGAATGACTTCACCATGCACTGACCTAATATACCAAGCATCAATTTGCATTATTAACAAAAGATTTTCTTCACATATGACATGGAGGACAAAAGGACCAAGAGAGTTACTAACTGCAGATTTCCAGTTTGGAGCAAAATAACAAGACTGCTACCATAAGTGACCATCCAAAAAGAAGCAGTGCAGCAACCAATACAAGTTCAAAAAAAGTAACACTAACTTACAAGTATGATAATCGGTAAAAATTGATGGCTCTAGTATGAATAAAAGAAGGAAAATACTTACTGACTCTGAGCTTGTTTTGGATGTGCTTCATTTGATGCTTCATGCATGGAGGAAGAGTCTTCCATCAAAGATGCCCATAAAACCAACTTTGATTGTTGTGGAGACTTTCTTTTAAGCAGCCACTGGTATATCCTTATTTACCCTAGAGGCATAAGTGCTTTTCAAAGATGAAATATCCAAGCTGTCCTGTAATGTCATTTGCTTTATGCGAGAGGCCTCATTAGGCATCCCAGCCTTCACAAGGCAAGATAACAAAGAAGTCATGGTGATGGCATCTGGAGCACAACCAATAGATAACATCTTATCAAAAATGCTAATTGCTTCATACATTCTTCCTTTCATGCAGTGCCCAATTATAAGAATGGTAAATGTCACTTTATCAGGCTTGCATTTCAGCTCCTCCATCTCTGCCACAATTATATTAGCTTCATCTACATTGCCAGCCTTACAAAACCCGTCAATGACAGGATTATATAAAAAAGGTTTTGGAGAAATACCTCTGCACTTCAACTGCCTCAAAAACTTGCGAGCCTCGTGTAATCTATTCTCCTTGCATAGAGCATTAATAATAATGGAATAAGTATAAACATTCGGATACAAGTTTCTTAAATTCATTGTATCCCAAAGCTTCAAACTCTTGTTTACTTCTCCAATTCGACAATACCCATCAATCAAGGAAGTGAAGGTAATGACATCAGGAATGCAATCAAAGGAAGGCATCTTCTCATACATGGATTCAGCTGAAGCCATATCACCAACCTTGCCAAATCCATCAATAAGAACATTAAAAGTGATTTCATTGGGCTTGGTTCCAAAAGCAATCATCTCATAGAAAAGAGCAGAGGCCTCCTCCATCCTACTCAATTTGCAATAACCTGATATTAACGATGTGTAAGTCACAATGTCAGGCATACAACCAACTCTTGAAGTAACTTCATTCAATAAATCACGCCCTCTGTGTACCTCCTTAGCCCTACAGAATCCATTTATGATAGTGTTATAAGTAACAATATCGGGAAGACAACCAAAATTTCCCATATCACTCAAAAGCTCAAATGCCTCATTGACTTTTCCAACTCTGGACAGACCTCGGATCAGAATATTGAAAGTCCAAGTGTCTACACAGGAGTTTAATTGCAAATTCTCTTTAACTAAGCTAACTGCCTCCTCAACTAGATTTTGCTTAACCATCATATTCAGCAGGTTATTTAATACAAAAGAGCTCACACCTAACTCCTCAGATTGAACCTCAGCAAGCAGTTTCTTGGCAACATCAAACTTGCCCGCTTTTGAACATGATGATACCAAAAATCCTAACAAAGAACTATCAGGCAAATGCCCATCAATCCTCATGTAATCAAAAACCATTTTAGCCAAGTCGTATAGACCCTCATGACAAAGTGACCTCATAAGCAAATTGTAAGTCTGAATAGAATGAACAATGTTCAAATTCATCCGACTGAACTCCAAAAACTTCAACCCCAATTTTGGATTCCTTAACCTTTCAACCACTTCAAATTCAATAGAAGGTGTCAAGCTCTTCCTCAAATAACAAATGCAACCTTCCAAAGAGTGTAAATGGACAAAAAGGGTGCTTACAACCTTCACAAACCAAGCTTCGTCGTTTCTGATTGCCTCCCTATTGCTTTCCAAGGGCCGAGGGTGAGATCCTCCTTCAAAATGATTGTGAAAATGAGCAATGGAGGTTTTGGAGGCACCTCGAACCCTTAAAGCAGGGGCTCGGAATGGAAAGAAGGTCATCTACAGCCCCACACCATCTCAAACCCCAGTTATAAAACCCCAAATATCTGAATCAGAATGTCCAGATTCTCTATTGGGTACTTCAAAATCTGAGTTTGATTTTCTCCTAAATTCTCTACCCTTCATGTGGATGACGAGAAACCCAAAAACAGCACCATAGCAAACCAAACTTCATCTCACAGTGATGCTAACACCACACTGATCCATCAAAGAACCAAAACGCCCCAAAAGACATCATCCTCTTAACATTTGACATTCTTGAAGAATCAGCCTTGAGATGAAACTACAGAAATAATCAATAAAAAAATTACACCAAATCAAGAATCAAAGGAACCCAAACAAGAAAGGGATAGCAACAACAACGACAACAACAAAAAGACTAACCGCAGCAGAAGCAAATGATTAAGGAAAGTAATGAACAGCGGCGGCGGAAGAGTGCAGCGACTGAACTTTCCAAAACAAGAAAATGCAACTAAAACCTTTTTGCTCATGAAAAGATGAAATGGGTTTGTTCCCAGAAATGAGAAACCAGCTCGCTCACAGTTTCGCAGGGAATTCCCGTTAGGGTTTTTCAGTGTAGTGCTTTTGGATGCTCTTTCTCAGAGAGACTCGGGACGAGCTCTTTGGTTGGTCTCAAACTTGGGTTGGGCTCCGGCTTGTATTTACATAGAGGGCCCAAAACTTCACTAATGGGCTTAAGTAGGTGCCCAATTACCCAACCTGCCAATCGGATCCAAGTGTTTTGGTGCTAACCCTCGATATATAACATATTAATTTGAAATTGAATCATATTAAATTTTATTTTTAATTTTATTTTTTTATTTATAAAATTTAAATTTGACACTTTACTTAAAATAAATCAAATTTTTTTTTTACTTAAATCAATAGATTATTAGTATCTGATTCAATAAGACATTCTTAGTTTCTAACTCATGGCTCATTTAAACCCAACTGGTTTCATTTGAGTCGAAACATGTTAGATGGTAGGTTCAACAGTTCATAAGAAAGGAACCTTTAGAGACACTTTTTCTTAAATATGATTAGGTCACATTTCACATAAAATTTAATGTGATTGACAATTGATATTTAATATTAAGTTAATATTTTTAAAATTAAAAATTTTAACTAATGATATTAATTTTATATATTACGTTTATTCAATCTATTAATTAGATAAAAAAACACTTTAAAAAGTATTAAAAAAAGTGTTTTTAGCACTTTTCTTCATATAAACTATTGGTAAAGAATCTTTAGAGTGCTTTACAATCTCTAAATTGTAAGTTTGAGTTCTCATGTATGTGGGGTTTTTTAATAATTTTTTCTAATATGTGTATTAAATAATTAAATAATTAAAAATTTTCTTTGTGCACTTGCATACTACATTAAAAAAAAGTGTCAAAGTATCCTAATATATTATACTTATTTGACTCAACTTACCTATCTAAACTTTTAATCTTAGGTCAAGCAGTTGTACCTTAGTTGTTAAGAAAATTTGCTTCTTTATTAATTAAAGCTGGATTTTTTTAAAAAGAAAGTTTTTTTTTATGAATTTTCTAATTTTATCATAAATTATTTAGCTTTATTTGAATCAATTAATCTAAGAGTTTTTTAGATTAAATGTTTTGATATAGTTAATAATTTATAGTTAGTAATTAATAATTAATAATAATAATTATTTATAATTTAAATCATATAATCTATTCAATTAAAATTAATAATTAATGACTATTCTTCCAACTCTTAAACAAACGCTTACTTGCTTACAAGATA